AGCCTGGCAGTTCCCGGCCAGCAGCCAGAGAGGCAGGAGCTCCTGGAGTAGGGATGTGAGAAGTAGTGAGACCTGCAGGTACTGCTGGAGCAAAGTTATGGATGGCAGCTCCGGAAGCTTGAGCGGTGATGTTAAGTTATAGCCAGGCGGCTCCAATTTATGTTACAGCCTAGGGGCTTGTGTTTTGTGTTGGCGTTGTTATGTATTATACCGGTGGTTTGGGCGAGGCTATAGGGGTTGGAGGAGGCCTCGTAGGGACCCACAGGGGTGTGGGGCCCTAGCGCCAGTGAGGGCGCAGTATTCTCAGGGGAAACCCCCAGCGGTGTGAGAACCCCGGTGCCAGGGAGGGCACAGCATACTCCTAAAGGGACCCACAGTGGCGTGGGGACCCTGGCACCAGTGAGGGCGCAGTATTATTAGGAAGCCCAGCATGGGCACAGCGAGCCCCAGAGAGGGGGCAGTATTATTAGGAAGCCCAGTGTGGGCACAGCGAGCTCCAGAGAAAGGGAACTACTGAGCAGCCCAGTGCGGGCGCGGTGAGCCTCTGAAGAAGGGCTTAGTGGTGCGGTGAACCCCGGCGAGAGGGGGTAGTGGTGCGGTGAGCCCTGGGAGAAGGGGGTAGCAGCGCGGTGGGCCCGAGAGTCGGGGGGCGTAGCCGAGAAGTCCCCGGAGTGGGCTCAGAAGGCCCCAGGAAGGGAGCAACGTTGAGAAGCCTAAGCGTGGGCGCAGAGAGCCCCAGACGGGGCGGTATTTTAGAAGCCCGAGTGTGGGCGCAGAGAGAGCCCCAGAAAGGTGGTATTATCGAGAGGCCCCAGATGGGGGGGCGACATTACATGGGAGGCCCCGAGTGGGCTCAGAGAGCCCAAGAGGGGGCAGCACAACAGAGGAGGCCCCAGAGAGTGGGCGAGTGTACACAGGAGGCTCGAGAGACGGGCGGTGTATCTATAGAGACAAACCAATGTCTATCCCATCTGCGAGGCTTGGGACGTGGTATCAGGGGTGGTTGGAGCCATGCATAGCCCATAAGGCTAGGGTGCCTGGGAAGCACCCATCATACAGGGAGACCCCCAGTGGGTC